AAGCATAAAATATTAAAAAAAAAAAAAAGTGAATTGTATCTAACGATTTTGATTAAATTCATTATATCAATGTAGAATTAAGCAGTTTTAAATAAACTGTAGTTTTTATTCTGATTGATGTTCTCTAGTAGGGCTTATGGCTAATTTTCAATGTCAGCTAACTCTAAAGTACATTAATTTTTTTTAATCTGAAACAATTGAGCATTTCCCATTAATCTCTAATATAAAAGATAGTTAAATATGAAATATGAAAGAATTTGACAATTAACTAAAGGAGTAATAAAAAATCGTAACGGAGAATAGTTGTAATTGACCGCACCAAAAGACTATAACAAGCATTCATAGGTAACATGAGCTTAATATAATACGGACTCCGACATATTATATAAATATACATATGCGGTTTTCATAAATGCTATTGTTGGTATTATTTAATATTTAATTGTATAGATTACACCGATATAGATATTAAAAATTGTATATATAAATAAGGGTACCTATACAAATGAAAATATTCACAATGAAATATAAATAATTATAGCGTCTATAACTTTTACTTTCACTTCACCTTTGTATGAAAATACTTATTTCTGCTAAGGGGGTGGTAAGTGAAAGTTGTGTGATGCGTGTGCCGCACCAGGTTTTTTAATTCAGAACTATTAGGAAAAAAAAAAATTAAATTGGCAATGATAAAAGAAATCTGTGATAAAGGTAAAGATAAACGATGAGGTTGGAAGAGGATAGAGGTGACACACGTGATGCCTACACGGCCACTCACTACACACACATACTCACACACTGGCTGAGACTACTGCCCCCGGCAGCTGTCGGGATTTGGCCCAGCTGCTCGCCCATACAGTCTGCTTTATCGTCGCACACATCTCTCCAGCCTATAGCCTCAGATAAGGCCAACAACAAATATATCCCTATTGTTAATTAAAATATATATACATTGTTATCTTTATTCTGCACACTGCATGTTGTATAATATAGGCTATCAACCGTTAGCAATATAAATAATTCTTAAACACATCCAGAGCCGAAAAGATTCGAATATTCACAAATGTTATCATTCACCTATTCTCCTTTTAAAAAAATCGCATATCTCTAGCATAGAACTTACTTATTACATTATGAATTATTTTTAAAAATAGAGTAACAAATTTCTTAATTATTAAGTTAATCAGAGCTTTTATTCCTGTTAAGGTTTTTCAATATAGTAAGTCAATTTTTTCTGAATTATTGGATGTTGAAATTATTATTGAAAAAAAAATTTATATAAAATAAAATTGTTAAGATATATACATATATTTTATATACATACAGTTATTTATTTATACAATTATATATTTATTTATAGGCATTGAGCTACTTGCTGTATCTTTTTTTGTGTGTTATTTTGGGTGATAAATATTTTTAATTTTTGCCAACGCCATCTCACAACACACATCAAGAAAAACATGTCATCCTAGTCTATGTGTTATTTTACTACCATTTTTTTTTTTTTTTTTGTATTTTTATTTTGTTATCACTATTCTTTTTTTTTTGTGCTATCATTTATTCTCCTTGATATCATATTTGCTGAATACCGAGGTACATGGCAAATTTATTGTGAGCTACGAATATGTGTAACAAATAAAACATTTATATGCATATATATTTTTTTTCAAAAGATAAATGTTTGCTTAAAACAGATTGTAGGGAACGCAATTCTACGTTAGGTAAAAATTGATAAACATACTGTGATAACAAAAGTCGTAGTTTATAAATATAAATATATTTATTTTGACTATAAAATCAGCTAATATATTTTGCCCACTATAGATATCTCCGTTTTTTTATTATTAGTCTAATAAATTAATAAATCTTAAAAAATCCGGAGGTTTTATGTGGACAGAGTTTGGAATATCTGTCTTGATGCAATCCTCCCACTTACGCCTCGGTCCACCCCTAGGATTTTATATTTATAGGTATACCCTTCCGTTCAGATATAATTAACTTTTTATGATTTCGTTCGTTACTGAACCCATAAACTTTACAGGGGTTTCATTACTTCAATTATATTAACAGGGTACATATAGCCGTGTCCCTCGCATTGTAGTCTCCAGAATTTCCCAGTGGACTCATGTCGTCAAACATGCATTAAATTTGTTTTTTTTTCACCCATTAGCATCAGAAAGTTCCGTTTCATCGGAATATTATGTATACGATCAAACTTTTTTTAAAACTGTTCAAGATTCATATTTCTCATTGTATTCATTGTTAATTTGAGACTAGCGACCCCTAGACTGTCATAAAATTATTTTAGTTGATTTCATGTAATAGAAATATTAAAATATACATATGAAGTATTTTCTCAATTTAGTAAGAAAAAAAGTGACTAACACGAAGAAAGAGGACTATATCAGTTGTTGGGTATGGTTTTATTTCTTGTCATTTGTTATTTTAATTATAATACAGCTGTAAATATGATTAAAAAAATTTAAAATAATTATTTCATCTCAAACACCTAGGTCAATGCCGTATCAAATTTGATTAGTTAACGTATGAGCATTTCATTTGACAGAATGACCAACTCCAATTTCTAGATTTTTGAGTAAAGTTATTTTAATGATATTTCTGGTTGGAAAATTTATAATATCTACAGTGTTGAAATATAGAAGGCAATAAAGGATTTTTTTTGCAATAAAGTCATAGATACAACTTTTTTTATTTATGTTATTAAAAAAAGTAACAATTAAATGAGAGTGAAGATTAAGTAAACAGTAGAGTGAACGCACCGGTTATGGACAGGGAGTCATGTGATGGACTTTAAATGTAAATAATAAGCTTCCCACTTGGTTGAAAGGTTTCAAGAATAATGCCTTTCTATTCACAACTGTATGAACAAAGTTTCCAAAAGAAAATTTTAACCATGGTGCTCTTGAGATCAGTGTGTTTCATATCTTCCTGCTAATAGTTTTGCTTAGATTATGTTGAACATTTATGTTATCTCATCTTTATCGTCATGTATAGAGTTAATAAAGATTTTATAATTAGTCTGTCTATTAATGGAACAGAGCCCTGTCAATTACTAGAAGAATTGAATTTCGGGGTGTCCATCACGTGTGCAAAAAGGTGTTTTTTATTAGTTAATTTTAGACTATTTATCTGTTCTATTTTATAAGATGAGGATTTTTTTTTTACCATTGACAGCCTCTATTATATCTTAGAAAATTAATTGCAGAGTAGCTTTCTGTGTCCGTGCACCATATTCATCGCTATAATTATAAGACATCTAATAGGATACATTAATACATTAACAATTCATGCATTACATAATTTTTTAATTGACATGCAATTATTATCACATCATGCCATACCTTTTTCAATTTTTGTCTATTTAAAATTTTAAAATTATTATATACTGAATCCTCCGAAAATAGGATTCCTCTTAGAAAAAAAAAATTAAATAAAAATAAAACGAAAACAAAATTTGTTATAATAATATTATAATAACATAAACGAATTGGTAATGTCATTAATTAATTTATCAATGTATCCTATTTGATGTCTTACAAGTATAGAGATGAATATGGTGTACGAACATCGAAAGCTACTCTGCAATAAAAGTTTTAAAATATATTTAGAGACTGTCAATGATAAATAAAAAATCCTGATGTTATAAAAAAGCTGTTTTTTTTTATAATGGAAATTATATCTACATAACTGAATATGTTTTCAATTTTAAGGTGTTAAATAGAAACAGGATACTCTAGAGAATCTAAATGTTCAACGGAGAAGTTTATAACTATAAGAATTACGGCGGCATAAGCCAAAAAAGAAAACAATTGCTTAGCTATGTCCATCACAGGTGCACTTCTATTACTTGCCCATACTATAGTGCACTTATACTAGAGGGCTTAGTTTAAAGTTAAAATTATCTTAAACGAATTACTTGATTCTAATGAATCGTTTGTTTGAGTAGTTAACCTTTTTTTTGGATCCAAATTTTTGCGAAATCAACAGAACACATTAAAACCTTTCTTTGAAAATTTGCTAGGGGAAATTTTATAGTTCCGGAATAACAGAAAACATTGAAAATAAAGATCCAAGTCATACTGAAACTGATTAAAAATAAAAAAAAAATATTTCAACCCTTGAAAATAATATAGATGTATAATACATTTTTGTAATAATTTACTTTATTTTATTTTTAAATTATTCCGTCTCTAAGGCCGATCTCATCATATTAAATTTACTTAATTAATATTTACAATATTTCAGTGAATAATAAAATTGTAAAAATTACTCCACAATTGGATTGCAAAATGTACAACACTAAAGAGAAAGAGACACTTTATCATATATTATTTAAATGCCTAATTCACAATAGTTTATGACTAAGACTTTACCAAGGCATATAATCTTTGTATTTATTGTTATTGTATATTGATACTATTGTAGATAATTGAAACTATTTTAACTGTCTGATTTTTAGCCAAAATGATATTCAATTTTTCCTTAAGAGTGATGTAATATCTGTAATGTAGTATAAAGTGAAAAAAAAGAAGTTGTAATACCATAAGGATAATAATGTTCATTATTTTGTGATAGACTCTGTTTGTATGGAGTTCTTCTCTTAAAAAAAATAAAGATTAAATAAATAAGTATTTACTAAATTACGAAGTGAAAATTTGATCTTTCAATATTATCAAATAGTTTCTTATTTCGTAGTCAGTATACTCAATGACTTTATTCGTTAACTTATAGGCCGAATAATGTTAAGAATATGATTAATAAAATTAAAATAAATAATTAAATTTAAATAAAAATAATATAAATGATGGAAATGTAAAATATCAAAGAGGAGAGGCAGTTGATCAGAATCACCCCCTGGCGGAGGGGCGAGGAGGGGGAGGGGGAAGTCCCGGAGGTGGCGGCCTCTCTGCGGCGTCAGCGCCAACTAACTCACCGCCGGGCCCAGGCGAAAAATCCAAACAAAAAAAGTCTCAGATGTCGCCTGGTTGTCGGTGAGGCCAGGTCGGGCTGTATGTCACTTCTATAGAACACGATCGTATAACAGTCAATGTTAGTTATTCGCGAAATATATTACGAGTCCGCAAATACTATTATATTTTTTTCGAATATATATTCTGTTTATGAACTTGTCAGTGGTTGGAGTCGGCAATTGGGATTAAGGATTCACTAGCACTAGGTAAGTCCTATGTTGGTTTATTTATTTTTTAAATCTATCATCTCACTCAAATAAGTAAAGTCGATTTTTTTGTTTTTTTATCTCAATAAAAAAAAGTATTCCCAATCACGATTTTATCCGATATATTATGTTAGAGTAATTAAAAATGAAGATATCGATAAACGTTTAATTTATTAAACGGCTGTATCGCAGAACGAAGATACGTGTTGGTAGAGCATGTGTGTACGGTGTTCAAACTGCAAGCCACAGGCCGCGGTTTTGCCGCCAAATTTCTCATTAGTCGGGTCCTCCCGCCGAAACAGCTGGTACGCACGTTTTAATTACTTCGTACGGTCACCACAAAAAACAGAACCTTCCGACCGTTTTCCTTGAAACGTTTAAGGCCTTTTTTTTATTCTAAATATAATAATTTCTATTTTATTTTTTGAGGCGTTTAGAATGAAAAAAAGGTGTTAGTCAATCTCGACTTATTTTGAAAAAAGATTTTTTTTTTGTAAACGTACAAAACATTACTTATGAATTGTATGCATAAATAATATTATTGACGTAAATTATCTATGCACGACATACAAATTGAAGTACATTTATAAAAAAAAAATTAAACAATTTTCCGAAATTGACTTATACCACTTTCGTCCTAAAATCCTAATGTTTTCCAAATTTAGATGAGGGAAATGGTTTTGTTTATATGAATAAATAATGGTTAAAGTTGTTTCAAACCGCATTGCATAATTACGCAATATGCATGAGTATTGCCATTTTTTATGAAACTAAAACTAAAATATCTGTTTACATTCTGTTGTTAAATATTGAATTTGGCGAATTGAACATGACTATGATTACTATAAAAAAAAATGAATTTGATATTTAGAATTGAAAAGTACTCATCAAAAGAAAATTATAAATATAATGCAAAAATACTGCTATTCTACAATTTACATAGGGGACATAATAATCGCGCATCTTCAATCAATTATAATTGTTGAAATAACATTTTTAAGAATCTAAAATGACTTTTGTGTTTATAACAACGGACAAACATGCCAAGTATTGGTAAAAAAGATATAAAAATTAAAAATGAAATGTAATTAAAAATACTGAATGCAAGTAGTTTCGTTGAATGAGTATTTTCAAGATCATAATGCCTAATATAAATAAAAATGATCAAAATAAGAATTTCTTTCAGTTCAGTTTCTTTTGAAAACGTTTGATATTTTCATTCAAAAAATACGGTTTTATCTCTCAGGATAATTATGTTCATATTTCAATTGTCTTAAGATAGTTTTAAAATAATTGTTTATTGCTGTATGAAATAACATAACAGATGCTTGTTTTATCATAAATAATAATAAAAATAATATATCATAAACATTAATGGCATACACAGTATCTGTGACCGTTAAACGAAAGTATTGCGCAAATCGTTATGTAATTAAAGCAATGAAAAACAAGGAAGAAAAAAAAAACATTATTCTTTGAATTTAATAACTAAATAATTTTATACAAAATTCATAATAAAATACAATTTACTTTAGGAATTTTATATTAGATTTACGATAAATAATAAAGTAATTTATTGTATTAATGAAACCTAAGCACGCATATTTCAATTTTATAATATCAATAATAAAATAAATTAAAAAAAATATACGGAGATTAGTTAACGCAGTGTTTACGTATAAAGTAGTACGATAAGCATGGCGGACCCAGATTTCAGGCACGTGCTGAAATTTATCTCAACATTGATAAAATACTTTAATATGATTTCTTAAAAGGTATTCATCTGAAAGTATTTTAAATTTTATTTTAACGTCTTTTTTTATTTTATTTGGTGGACAAGATGATTATTCCATTATATAAGAAAAGACGATCCTCATTTTAAAAAAGTTTTGTTCAAAATATTATTCCTCGTCAGTGATGTAAGGGGGAATTTCAATCTTCTGAATGGTTACCATGGTATCTTCTTCCTCCTCCTCCTCCCCCCCCCCCTCCGAATGGAAGGAAAAACCATTTATTCATAGCCTCTGATATAAATTGACCTTATCCAAAGCCCTTTCTATATCCACTTTATTCTGGATAGAAGCACAGGATCTTTCGTCCCGGAAATTTCTCTATTAGACAACTATTTGTTTCAATAATTTTAAAATTAATAAAAATAATCAAATAGTAAAAATTCATACAATTAATATTATTTAAAATGATTTTACTTTAATTATTCAAAGAGTATTTAATGTGCAGTTTAAATGTGAAATTTAAACGAAGCTTACGTAACGGATTTGAGATAATCAATAGTATAATGACGTAATGAATAGACATTGGGGTTTTGTTACTAAAAACGTGACCATATTAATAGATTTGTGTCCGAGATACTTCATAGGTATTAGTGGAAAATAAAATGAAATATTGTAGATAGGTTAGTACGATGCGGGACAATTTTTTTAAAATATTAAAGTAAGCTAATATTGTGTTAGATGCAAAAATTATATATGAAAAAATTACCTTCTACCATTATATTAGAAGAGTTAGAAAAAAAACATTTAAAATGTAAGGATAATAATACTACTCGAACATTAAGAAATAAAATATTTTAAAAATTGTAAAATGCTTTATGAAGCAGATATAAATAAACCAAACTTCAAATTAGTGATTTTTTAAAATTACGGATAAAGTAAATAGAAGTTTCTAATAACTTTACTCTTCTTGATCTTTCACGAAGATAGGTTAATATTTATTCGATTGATATTAAATTCTATATTAATATTAAATTCTATATTAATGTTAAATTCTAAATTGATTATTAAACAAGATATAATCTAAATAGTATAGAAATTTCAAACCAATTTATTAAAAATTAGGATATCAATGTCGTTTTGAAGAAGCAATTTTATTTTTTTATTATTATTTAAAGTATCAATTTTATTTCCCTAATCTAAAAATATCGCAATATATCAAGTATCTTTTATAGAAACATAGATAGAAATGATTTTTTTTTTTAAAGAAAAAGAATTTTTAACAGTTTATTGTTAAACGAAAAGAAATGTTGTTATAAGTATATTTTAGATAATTTTTTTGTAGGTGGAAAGATATAAACATATGTTAATACATTTTACCAACTGCATTATAAAAAATGTTAAACTTAAAAATAATATTATTTAGCTGATACGTTTTAACGATGTGTGAGGCAAAGTAAACAATAAAAAAAAATTAATCTAACATACATCGATTATCTAAATTAATAAGTTTTTTGTTTAGATTCTTTCGTGTAGTTTCCCTGCATTATATAATAATTTTTGAAGATAATATTTAAAAATAAATATAAATAAACAATAAAATCTACCTGCTGATTATGGATATCCTGATATATAATAGATAAATAGATAGGAACTTTGTAATTATTTATTAAGGGTCAAGGTGGATTGTATATAGCCAATGGGAAAGACGAAGAGATGCGCTCGGTGGTCGCCTAAGCCAGGGCAAGACCAATGGCATGTTGACATTTGGGACTTAGTCGTTTTTCAGCGCGCTATTTCGTTTTTCACAGGGTCCTTAGAGTCCACTTTTTATTGTATTTTCTTTCTCTCATATTTACTCCTGCAGACGGCGAGATATCCCAAGAATCCAGATATCTATAAATTATTCCGACATGGTTGCTTAGTATATCCGCGCTTTTTACCTTTCTTGCCCTGTCCTGGTTTCTTCTGCGTATTGAGAATTTTTTTTTCTTGTCTCGTCCTGGCTTTCCTTGATGTATTTTTTTGGTGGCTATAAGAGGTAAATGTTACATTGTGATTTTTTTTTTTTTTTTTCGGCTCCTTTAAAACGTTTGAAGACATCTCTCCGTATCAAGGAAGGAATATCTGCAATTGATTCATTGCTACATTTCTGAAAGCGATTTATTTTTATTTCAACTACGTTATTAATTAAGAATTCAATTATATTGAACTATCTATTTATAATTAAAATATAAATTCCTATTTGCAATACAGGAGTTGATTATACCATAATCTCTAGGATGGAACGAAACAAACAAAAATTATTTGAAAGGTTTTATTTTTAATTATCATTAAAAATTCATTTTAGGAAATAGTTTTTATCTAATTATTTTATTTATTCGTATATTTTTAATTTATTCATAGCGAAACTAGTGAAAATCGTCATTTAAAAAAAAATCATTTGGTGCACACTTTTAAAAAGCCGCCTTAAATAAATCTTATGAAGGCATTTGGCTGTATTTGGATTATTTTTTATTGCAGAGTTAATTAGAGGCCAGAATTCATTAGTCCAAGTTTTCAGGTCTCTAGTCTTTATTTTGAAACGTTTTCAGTGTTGTAGTGTCGGTACATCTAAGATAAAATTCCAAAAAATGAGCCCAATACGTTACATTTTTTTGACATTATTTTTCTCATTAATTTTATCGGTTTTTCGTTACATATTATTTGCAATGGTTCCTTGATGCTTCAATATGCTTAGAGGAACCGAATATGTTCCGCATGATATAGCTAGCAGGGAATACTACCACAGAACCTGTTACACAAAAATAATTTAATTTTACAAAACAATTTTTTTTTTTACACAATGCGAAATTACGAAATTAAAATAAATGAAAACGTATTATCTATTTTTTCTGTTGATTACATGCATGCGCCTTCACCTCAACCTTCAATATTTGAGTATTTTTATTTAATGTAAAATAATTTTATTTCATTGTTTTATAAAAAATACCGTGCTCCAAACCGGTTAATAAAATCAGGAAACAATACTATAAATTATATTATACCATAAATGTAACTTTTATTATAGTGGCTATAATAATACCCATTATAGTAGTAGGTGGATTATAATTCCCGACATAGTAGCAGATGATCAGGGCCATTTTGTAGCGAGTCAACTGCTGTTTAGTGAGCCATCTGCTCCACGGAACCACTATTCTCTGCCACGGCTTGCCATTCGTTAGCATTATCTATACTTACATTGTTGAAAATAATGGCCTGTGATTTATA